TAAGCTTGTTTAAAACTAAATAAATAATCTACATATTTCAGCCCAAATAAAATAGACTTTTATAACTTCGCACCACATTTCCGTGACTCAGTGACATACTTACTGCTTAAAGAAGTTTCAGTGCATTTCCAGGTTCTCCTACGTAGCTCCTGTAGGAAGCTGTGACTGGGGACAGTATTTCTGTAGAGCGGTTGTTTCTATAAAGGGGATGAAAACAAGGAACCTGCCCGTTTGCCTTTCACACGAAGAATTATGGAAAGTCAGAGCATTTTAATCTGAGTTAGTTACACTGAATTCCAGGATGGAGTTGCATTACAGTTGGGTTTCTGTATAATTTTCAAAACACAGGGAATTGAGATACCCATTCAAGGAATTCTTTGAAGAGTGTTTTGAAATTGCTGTCACCTCCCTGCTAATTGATAGATGCTAAAACTAAAAGTATATTAGAACAGTAGGTTACTGGCATTTTCTCACTCATTTAGAGTAGTCTGCACACTCTCTGAAGTGAATCGTTTCCAGCTGAGAGTTGGACGAGGCTTGGTGTGCTTTGACCCAGCGATGGCCAGAACGGGGAGCACGCAGCGCACAGGGCACAGAGGTGCTGTGCTGTGGTGGAGGACAGCGTTAGAATTTCTGTTTATACGTTCGAATCCACGAAAAGATTATATCAGCATTTGATATTCAGATTGACCCTGGCGCTCATTCAGTCTGCATGCCATGTTGTCTTCTGTCACACGTTTGTGGGGAAAGTGGGAAGACTTGACAGTGGCATTCTTGTGGGTGTGTTCATTTATGTTACCTGTTAAAGCTGTCAACTCCAGATTTACTCATATAACAAATATTCTCTTATGGTCTTAAAAAGAATCCTGCAAAGAAACCAAGATTGAAGATAATCTTTATAATGCAGGCATTACAAATGTAGCATATGCTACATCTGCCTCCTGTAGCTCACCTAAAGTTTACCAAACCCGAGGTCTTCTGAAGGTGTCCTGTGTGCGGGCCAGGATGGGCCATCCTTAACCAGTGAAGGTCAGGACTGGGTTGTAAATACTCTAGCTTTCTCATTCCTCAGAAGAAGACACAGAGTTATTTCTCAGAGTGGCCCCAGTAGGATTGATTCCCAGTTGCTGAAAGCAATAATCTGTTCATTAACATACTGTTTATTGCCTTCCATCCTTCCCCCTCACTTCCCCACTCTCTTAGGGGGCCTCCTGGGATTGTCTCCCTAATGAATGACAAATCCTGTCTAGGAACTATTTTTTGTTACAGGGTGAGGGGGCAGCAAACTGTCAGCAGGCACTAAAAAGTCATCAGACTGACAGCCCTTCTAGGCCCACCATTTGCTCTGCAGCCACATTGTGAGATACTTAAAAATGATGGCAGTCCAGTTGGTAATCAGGTTAAATTACACTGGATCACATCACGAAACATCCACGCACCTACGTGCCCTCAGTAAATCATGTTTGGCCATTAATATGATTTAAAATAGTAGATATTTATCAATAGTTCATCCTTTTTCAATGTATATTTTTGTATATTTTCTTATGTACAATACATGTCATGCATAATTTGTAAATATATGTATTTTGGGAGAATATACTTATTTTTCCCCCTAATAAGAGAGTATGATCATTAAGATTGAAAGTCTTTTGCTCTACTCTAGAGTACTTCTTTTAGCTGTTAAGAAAAGATATGACAATTCAGTTACCTTTCCTATCAAGCTCTGCCGTGAGTGTGTGTGTGAGTGTGTGTGTGTGTGTGTATGTGTTACAGACATATGAAAACTTTGCAACTCTTAGCAGAATTTTAGCCTTGGATATGACAGGATTTTTCATTTCTCCTCTGTAGAAGTGAACTGTTAATTTAATGGACTGTTATTCACAGATTTATAACTTATTCTTCTGGAACATGATTAAAAAATAATGAACTTTTATATTAACTTAAATGATCAATTATATATTAATGTGTCAGACCAAAGACTTGGTTATCTTAAAAAGATTTGTTATCTGACATGCTGGAAGGGATTAAGAATCCTGGTTAATAAAAAATTCTTTTAAACTAAAAATTATACCAATGGGATTTCTTGAACACTACAGAAATTTTAATACTCGTGAAAGGAATCAGGCTTACCAAGAAAGACTGAAGCAGCACACCCTAAGTTACGTAGTAGCAGATAGCAGGGAAGCTGGATAAAACCAAAAGAATAATGAGAGTGATTACAAATCTTAGAAAATTTAACCTATTTGACTATTAAAAAGAAGAAATGGGTATCATAAAATGCTTTTCTTAAACTTTTCAGGATAATTGTGAGAATCTAGTTGAAAATGCGTATGAAAGGTATTTCAGACACTCATTTGATAAATGCAACACAAAATTAAGGTAGTGCTTACCTTATCACTTCTTTGTATGTATGAAGTTTTCAGCTTTTAATTATCAAATGCTGTATTATTAATACCATTCCAAAATTTTTGATTCAGACTGCTCTGCTCTATGGATTATCTAAGAATGAGGGTGAAATTAAGACGTTTTCTGATGGAAAAAAAATGGAGAATTTATCACCAAAACTGCCTCACTAAAGGAACTTCTAAAAGATATACTTCAAGGTAGAGGAAAATTATCCCAGAACGTCTGCGATGTAAGAAGTAATAGTAAACAAAATAGTAAGTATTTGAGTAAACCTAAAGAAATATTGATAATATAAAACAATAATGTCTAATTTGCTGGAGGAAAACAATATAAAGTAAAAATTCTAGATAACCAATTCGCTATGAGTCTGATGCTTTAAGGTTGATACTTGAAATGATAATCAGTCTAATGATCTTGTATTATTCTGAAAAAGAGTAAAGATTGGACCAACTTTAGACTTGATTAAGTATGAACTTGCCTTTAAAAGAAACAGTGCACGTACCAGTACTATATGTTAAGGAGGCAAAAGGGAAATACGGAAAAAAAAAAAAAAAGAAAAGAACGAAGACACAGGAGAGAAAGTGGACGGGACAGATAAGCACTTAATATGGTAGAGATAATTCCAATTGTAAATAGATTGAGCTCCTGCAAAAAGTCTTGGGTCATTAGATTTTTCAGAATCTACTATATGCTTTTTACAGAAATGCATCTAAAACAAAGATACAGAAATTTTGCGAGCCAAGAGATGCCAGAGAGATACCCAAAAGAAGCTCCTGTAGCTGTGTAAGTGGACTTTATAGTAATATATTCTGTTTGAACAAAGATCGCCACACAGTGATCAAAGGTTTGATTCATCCTTTAAGTTTATACGTCCTTAGTAAGATAATTTCAAAAAATATAAAGCAAAAATTTAGAGAGCTACACAGAGCATTTGACCACGTTACCATTGTGGTAGATATTTTAATAAACCTGGGAGACCAAGTAGTTAAAATCAGTTAAAGACCTAGTCAGAACAAACATGATCTAATGAACATATGTAGAACTCTGCATATGGAATAAGAATCCATACTCTTTAAACACAAAAGGAAAATTTATGAAAATTGATCACATGCTATGAAAAAACATCAAATTTCAAAGAATCAATACCATGGAAATTATTTCCCTTGACCAGAAGACAACAACAAAAAGGATAACTAAAAAGGTTCTAAATTTAGAAAAAATTTAAATTTCTAAATAATCAGTAGGTCAAATAAGAAATCATATTTGAAATGGGAAAGTGCCAACATATAACTTAAGTTAGAAAAACAAACTCAAAAGACAGAAAAACAGAGTAGAAATTAATGAAATAGAAAACGAAATAGGAACAGCAAAACCAGTGATCAAGAAGAGAAAGAGCTCAAATAAACAGTTTTAAGAATGACCAAGAGGACATAATTATAAATGAAACAGATTTGAGAAAAAAAAATTAACCTTATATCAATAAATTTGAAAACTGAGACAATGAACATATCTTACCAAAATGATCTAATGAAATAGAAAATGAAAATACTATAATCATTACAAGACTTGAATCAGTAATTTGAACTCTCCCCACAGTCATTTAGGGGGACTTCCAGTAATAACAGGATATGTAATTTAAACAAACTCAGCCGGTAAAAGTAAAAACAAACAAAAGAACTGAATAAAATACAAATATTTGAAGTGTCAAAGAGCTAACCAGCTAATGAAGAATTACTAGGTCAAGATACAGAAAAGAAAGGAAATCCACGTGTCACAGCAGAGAGCATGCTTTTCTTGGTGTCACTGTTAGTAAACCACTTTCACCAGGACCCTGAATGGTGGTGCCTTAGTGTTAAGGGTGCAGCTGAAGTAAACCAGCCCTTGCACAGATGGTAGCTTGGCCTCTCCTTATGTGGGTGGCTCAGAAAATCACAAGCCTTAAAAACTCATTTAAAAAATGTATTTAAAATTTTTTGGAAGTGGTAAGTATAGCTGAAATAGGAATGGCAAAACATCGATGACTTAAATCTGAGTGACGGGTGTATTATGTAAAGTGATCTCAGACTTTTGGTGTCCCCATGTCTCTACCAAAACAATCTCTGGAGGATGACAATATCATCCTAGGCCTCAAATTATTTCTAAAAGTGAATTTTCAAATGCAGTGTCCAAAATAACATTCTAAGGTAACCTGACTCACAAAATGACCAGTCTCTGAGTGAAAAGCTGCAGAAACAAATGACCCGCCCCACCAAACAGACACCCACAAATACAGCTGGTACAGATTTAGAATACATGGGAAGAACAACATGAGTTGGGAATGTAGGTAAACGGAGTAAGTGTTTTGCAGGGGTCCCCAAACCCCATCCTGCAGCCAGTACCGGTCCGTGGCCTGTTAGGAATGGGGCCGCATGGCAGGAGGTGATTGGTGGGCGAGGGAGCAAAGCTTCATCTGTATCTGCAGCTGCTCCGGCAGGAGGTGATCGGTGGGCGAGGGAGCAAAGCTTCATCTGTATCTGCTCCCCAGCACTGGCATCACCACCTCAGCTCCGCCTCAGATCATCAGGCATTAGGTTCTCATAGGAGCACCGGTCCCTGGTGCCAGGAAGGTTGGGGACTGCTCTTCTAAGGTCCTTACGTTGTCTGGGAGAAGAAAAGGTATCTGTTAACATTAGTCATTGATAAAGAGGTTGCATCTTATGATTTCTAGAATAACTAAAGAATAGAAACAAGAGGTATAACTTTAAAGTAAATAAAAAGAAAATGAGATGATTTTTTAAATCTAAAGAGAAAAAAGAATGTAATACAAGCAGGACACATTGAAAGGACATGATAAGATGCTATTTTAAAGAGACATCTAGACATAATACAGGAAATGATATTAAGGAGATGAAAAAAGTCTAATATAAAAAATATTGAATGCCAACTCTAATTGAAAAATTAAAATGAAAAAAGGTCCATTAAACATCAAGAGAAGGCTAGCATATGTGTAATAGTATCAGACAAGATATTAAGAAGCCAGAGGTATTTTTACTAATAGTAAAGATCAAAAACAATTGATAAAACTTTCAGTGCACCAGGATGATATAAAGTTTACGGAAATATAAGCAGAATAGATAAGTTCAGAATCATGGTTGAAGATTTAACACCTGAGTAGTTGATAGAAGTAAACAAAATTAGTAAGGATACTGAAGATAGACAGCATAATCAACAAACATCACACCACTCATCAAGTGCAGAATACATGATTTTCTAGCATGCTTATAACATTTTTTAGTCACCGTAAACTGGGCCATAAAGCTGTGTCAACAAATGGATCGAAATCACAGTAAGTTTTCCAGTGACAATACAATTAAACCAGAAATCAGTAAAAAAAAAAAAAATCTACATATTTCAGAAGGAAAAACTTCAAAACGAAACAAGGATTAAAGCTATCACAATGGAAATTAGAAAATCTTTTGAACTCTAATGAAATATCGAATTTGAGTATGGTTAAAACAATGCATAGGGGAAATTCATATCCTTAAACCCTTATATTATTAGATAAAACAGAAGGCTAAAAAAAATGAGCTAAGTAAGAATTTACTTAAAGGTAATGAGCAAATTTAACCCCCCCTCCCTAAATAGAAGAATTTAATAATAAAAGCGTAAATTAATAAAATGGAAAACAAGACAACCAATTGTTGGTTCTTTGAAATAGCTAATAAAATCAATAACCCCCTGGCTATATGAAGACAAAAGAAAAAAAGGCCAAATGACCAAATTCAGAAACGAAAAAAGAGACACCATTACAGATTGTACCGATCTTTAAAAGATTTTAAGAATAGCTTTATGCCCTAAATTTTTGAAAAATGATAAAGTGAGCAAATTAAGAGAAAATTAGAGTTTATTAAAACCAGCAGAAAAGGCATTTAAAAAACCTGGATAGTTTGTAACTATTAAAGAAATCGTTACGGACTACTAGTATGCCATAATGATGAAGTAAACACTTGAGCTAAAGCCAACCCTATTAAAGAAATTGAATCAGAAATTTAAGATCTAAAAAAGTTGCGGGCTGTGATGGCTTCACCAATGAGTTCCATCAAACAGCGAAAAAAGAACTTGACATGAACTCTTTCAGTGAATAGAAAAAGAGGATGAGACTTCATTTTATCGGGCTACTAACGCTTTGATGCTAAAATTGGGTAGAGGCATTATAAGAAGGGACATTATAAGCCATTTTTACTGAGGAATATATATGCAAAAATGTCAGCAATTCAACAAAACCTAAACAGGATACTACATCATAGCCATGTTGGATTTGTCCCAGGAGCACAGGTTGCTTTAGCATTAGAAAATCAATCAGTGTAATTTGCCACAAAAACTAGATTAAAGGAGAAAAAGTTAAGATGATATCGACAATGCAGAAAAAGTTAAAAATCCCAAAAATATATTTTTGTTTTGCTTCAAGTTGCCACTTGGCAATCTGAGTCTTAAATTTAATAGAGCAAGGAACCAAGAGTAGTAGCCAAGACCTTTGTAGCAGCTCAGATCTTCCAGGAGGTTAGAAGTGTCAGATGTGAGAGAGGGCGCGGGATTCGTCAGGGAAAGCCTTCAGACTGTGATGCAGGTCTGACGTGAAGACGGAGGAAGGAGGGAGGATTGGCCCGGAGCACCTCGGACTGGCAGCACAGCTAAGAGAAAATCTCGGCCTGACCAGCAGGGCTCCAGTGCAAAGGCTAGAGGTTCCCCCTTGGGCAGAGGTGGCCAGGCCTCGCCTGGACACTGGCCGCTGCCTGGACAGAGCGTGGCCTCCACTCACATGCTACAGCAGGTGCAGAAGGTGAAGTGAAGCTGGAGGCTGCCGGGCGACTGCACCCGCTGCGGCAGACTTGCTCTCAACGGGAGACCCGAGCAACGCACCTCCAAGGCTGCTCTGCGCTCTCACAGACCGAGGCGCGGACTCACCTGTTACGTGGGGAGCTGTGTACCTACAGTGATGAAGACGCTATGTGATTGGTAGAAGGATTGACAGAACAGACCAGAGCCCCAGCACAAACCCGCACGTGCAGAGCTTCCTACATGCCAGAAGTAGCGAATCGTGGACAGGACGAACGTTCAAATCATTGCAGCGAAGACGGACAGCAGTACAGGTGGAAAATCTGCAACTAGCTTTCCTCAACATGTATTTTTAAAAATGTATTTCTCTGGTTTAAGACATAAATGTAAAAGCAAAACCTTAAAAACTACAGAAGACTGCATGTGAGAATTTATTTGTGACTTTAGGGTAGAGAAGTACTACAAACAGACACCAAAAGCAATAATCATAATGGGAAAAAAATTGACATTAAAACTTTGAATTTTTATTCACCAAAAGATACAGTAAATAAAGTGAAAAGTTGCAAACTGAAAGTGTATTTGCAGTTCATGTGAACAAATGTTTAATATCCAAAACAAACCCTAAAATTAGATAATGCACATATATATTTTTATATGTGTATATTTATACATACAAATCAATAAGGAAAAATGAACAGATAGAAAAATGGGCACAGCATTCGAGGCATTTCACAGAAGAAACAGGAATGGAGAGAAATCCTGCAATGAGGTTCGATCTCACTGCAATTGGAAATACAAATTCAGATCTCAATAAAATGTCGAAATGATGTGGATGACAGCACCTTAGAGGGGGACAGTTCCAGGGGTACTGAAGAAGACGCGTAACAGAGTGAACTTTGGCTCAGCCCTGGAGGCCGGAGGGAACCACAGCGCTACAGCACTGGGAAACGGGTTTGGGGTTAGTTCATGGCGTTAACCACACGTGCACCTTTAAACCGGTCGGTGTGTGTCTTTGAGAAATTCTTGCTTATATGCATCAGGAGAGATGTACGAACATATTTATAATAGCATTGTTTGTAACAGCAAAAGCCAGAATCAACTACAACACCCGTTTTCCATAGAGTGGACAAACGTGGTATATTCATACAGAGAAGCACTCGACAGCATTAAAGACGAAGGCACTACTGCGAGATGCATCTTAGAAACGATGTGGGGTTTTCTTCAAAGATTGTCAAAGAATACATTCATCGTGACACCTTTTTTTGATAGCTTTGTTGAGATATAATTCACATACCATAAAATTCACCCCTTGAAAATACACACTTGAGGTTTTTGTATATTCAGAATTGTGCGACTATTTCAGAAAATTTCCATCCCCAAAAGAAAGCCTGTACCCGTTTGCAGTCACTCTCCGTAACCCCCTCCCCAGCTCCCAGCAAACGCTAACCTGCTTTCTGTCTCTGTGCATTGGCCTGTTTTGGACATTGGATATAAATGGAATCATACAATGTGTGGTCCTCTGTGACTGGCTTTCATTTAGCATAATGTTTTCAAGATCCTTCCATGTTGCAGCATGTGTCAGTACTTTATTCCTTTTTTATTGTCATATAATATTCGGTTATGGGAATATATTCCTTAAAAATCCATTCATCGGCTGACAGACATTTGGTTTGTGTCCAGTTCGGCGCTATGATGAACAACGCTGCTATGAATAGTCACTTATCATTTTATATGTGGAGATTCTTTTTAAAATAAGATTCAAAACAAAGCAAGCCTAAACCTGTAAAAATTAGAAAGAAGAGGAAGGGGGCAGCCGAAAGATTTGGGAGTTTTCCAATCAATTCATTAAAGTTCATTTTAACATACCTTGTAACTCATATTACAATAATCATAACACACACAAACATATGAATTGGGTGCTTTGGCCACAGCGTTTTGTAAACGTTTGATATCTGGGTGTGTAGACACTAGTCTCTCAACACTGCAGGTGAGGTTTGGTTTCTTAGGGGGCCTGGGTTCTCTTTTCTCGTGTAAATTCTTTCACTCCATCCTCGCTGTCCAGACGTGCCCAGCCCTTTAGCATTTTCTGAGTTCTGATGGGTAAGTCAGCCTGTTGCTGAGCTGCTCTTCTCGTTGGTCCACGGACCCACCCCATCCACCAGCTTTCTAGCTTCAAAAATTATGTCGCTATTGTTTCCTCTCCCCCTTTCTTTGTGTTTATGGGTTTGTACTTTTCCCACTTCTTCTGTCAGGTTTCAGGAAGAATTAGAGGTTCATGGGTATGTTCAACGGCCGTGGTTATCCAGAAACGTTATAGTTTAAGCTGATTCAGGCTTTTCTATGGCAGCTTAGCAGCGTCCTGACCCGACATTATCGATAGTATCTCCCAGAGAAATATCCTACAATGTGATACCTAATGGCTGTAGCGTATTCCCTCACAGATATGTAATGATTTAACTAATTCTTGATATTTAAGTGACTTCAAATTTCCATGTTTAGTTTTAATAAATAGATTTTAGAATTACATTTGCTGCAACTTCCTCACCTTATCACGTTATCAAAAGAAGGTTTATACCAATTTATACCCCTACTTTCAGTGGGGGAGAATATAAATATCTTCACACCTGTAACAACAGGTATTCCATAATTTGTGTATGTCTTAGACCTGATTTTCTAATTATAGCCACTCGTTGGGAAAAATAAACTAAAGAAATAAGTCAGCCATCATCCTACCGTCCAGAGATCTCTCCCGGTAGCATTTGGAGTCTATCATTCTAGACTATTCTCTACACACATACACACGTTTTTTTCAGGTGGTGTTTTGCCTTTTTGTTTTGCTTTGTTCTTTTTTTTCCCTCCGCTTACTGTCCATACTGTTTTATACTTGCTTTGTGTCCTTAATGTGCTGTGGACACCCTTCCACATCAGAATACACTGACCTAATCATTCCCAAAGCTCTCTATACCGTAGTCCGCTTCCACCACCCCTGTTGGATGTTTAGATTATATTTTCTTTTAAATTCTCATACATATAGCTTTATGTAGTCCAATTCCTTCCTTAGATAAATAAAGAGATGTTGCTTGGTTAAAGGATGTTTGCTTTTTTCAGTTTTCAGTACGTAAATATATACTGCCGAAGGTCGTAGCAAAAAGAGCCGGAGACAAAGACGTTGGGCAGAAACGTCTCGTCGCTTGCATAACTCAGTTCCTGGACTTTTGACTTGTTTGATAATGAATTTCCATCTGGCGAAATTTGTAATCTGCAATTTCAAACTCTTGTTAAACTAGAGAGGCACTTGGCCGTACTTATATTAGTATGTCAATAACATAAGGTTCAGATTTCAGCCATGATGGGAACTGCAAATGGTATGATTTGTGTGAGTGCTAACAAATCATTCAATTTGGGAAGTTTGCATCTGTTTTATGTAGATATGTCTAAATTAAGAATATGGATTAATATTTAGGGTATTCTTAGCCCAATGTATTATATTATGTTGTATTCTATTACGTTGCAACTGAAGTCTTGAATTGACATGAATTAACCTATACATCTTCAAAATCGTATTTTGTATGAGCCTGTAATAAATGACCGTATTACAATTCAGAAGCCGAAAAGTGTAGTGAGAGTTGCCATGGGAACCTTAATGTGATATTCCCTTGCTTCCATTTAAATTTCATTTTTAATATTACATTAACATTTTTGCATTTAATGGATAGATATTTGAATTAATATTGAAGTGCCTTCTCTAACATAAATAAAATATAAGAAATGAAAATGTGATTTTTCTTCCAATGAACAAATGAACATATAATCCAAGATCTTGTAGAAATAACAGCACTTGAGCTTTAAATTATTAGATTCCATTAATTTATTTTGAAGTTTCTTAAAGGATCTCTTTTAAAAGATTAGGAAATATTTATTGGTAGTCACATAATTCATGTCTTTACATTTCAAATATGGTTCAGAATTTCCAGAAGGCTCTTTGAGGGCAGTTTTGTTCATTGCGCCTTAGTTCATTCTTCTGTATTCTTCTGACTAGATGACCTCCGAGGCCTCCCCGGCCTCTATCAGTCCTTATTGCTGCACCAGTCCCTTACAGGGTGAGACGCTTCATCTTACTGTGTCCCCAAATGCGGGTTCACTGTAGAAACAGAGATATAGGGCATTTTTTTTATTTCAAAGGATTCTTGACTATACAAGAATAATTGCACATAAGATTATATGTGAATTGTATGTTTAAAATTGAAAAATGTAAAATGTATGGACAACAGGATCTGTGATTGGAAGGAGATCTCAGGTGTCAGGAGTCTGAGATGCTTTCTGACCCACTCCAGCCAACTAAGTCTGTGACTATGGAGATCATTTCATCTCTTCCGTATAAAACAAAAAGACCAGATTAGGACAATTGGGCTTCTTTTCTAACTATATACTCCCTAAAGGAAATTTGAAAATTATGTATCACCTTACATCTTTTGAATCAACATTCAGATATTGGTAAAAGGTTTGATTTCTGACATATTAACATTTCAGTATAAAACATTTAGTAAATTTATCCAATGAAATGTACATATCATAGCAACTTGATACCACCCATTTTTTAAAATACAAAAGTAAAGCTTATATTAATACTATATGATTCCACTTATGATGAAAGTAGAAAGTAGAAGCGTGGCTGCCAGGGGCTGGAGGGTGGGCATGGGCAGTTATTTAATAGGGACAGAGTTCCAGTTTTGCAAGATGACTTCTGGAGGTTGGTTGCACAGTAGTGTGAATGTACTTAACACCACTAAAATGCACATTTAAAAATGATTACGTCTACGGCCATGCCACCCTGAACGTCTGATCTTTGAAGCTAAGCAGGGTTGGGCCTGGTTAGTACTTGGGTAGGAGACCACATAGGAAGACCAGGTGCTGTAGGCATAAAAAAAAAAAAGATTAAGATGGTAAATTTTATGTTACGTATATTTGACCACAATTTTAAAATTAAAAATACATATTAAAAAGTAAAGCTTGTATAGTATATTATTACTAGTTTTTTAAATTTTTATTTCCATTCCCTTCTACAGAATTTTGATTTAATATACTTTGTATATTTGAAACTTCTTTACTGACTTTCTTGGCCTGATCACATCTGTCTGCAACAAAAATATGCACAGACATTTAAATTAGCAACTATTTTCTCCTGTTACCTTAAGGCTTTAAGTATTAAGGTAAAACACAATTGGCCACAATCTAAATAATTCAAAAATTCATAAATAATGGGTAACACAAAGTAAAATGTGTTGGAAATGGATTTCTTATTAAGGTCTGAAAATCAATTTTAAATATAATAAGTGCATAGTAGCACTAAATAAATGAACAGCATTAGTCAGTTGCATGAGAAAAAAGTTGCCTCAGTTTAAAAATAAATACAGACTTTAAAATTCAACTTGGTGAAACTATAACGTTAACATAAGACATTCACTTACTGTGAGTTGTGAGTGTCTGTTTCTTTCCTTCGAGGTGGGGAAGTTCATCTGCCGGAAGTCAGCACGGGGATTCTCCCGCCTCGCTCTTGGAGTGACGCAAAATACGCCACAGAGGCAAGTGACGTGAGTGTGCCGAGTAAGTCTGTTCCCAACATTCAGAGCTCTGAAAATGCGCCGTGCAATGGGTCGGTGTTTTCTAGAATGATGTTTACAGATCTGGAACATGCTCATCATCGGGCGGGCAGATGGATGGGTAGGTAGGTCGATATATAAGGTCACCAAACCTTGCCAGTTTATTGCTCATGTGAAGTGTAAGCCTCTGCTGCCTTCAGTATTTTTAACTGATGCCTCTACTCAGTGGTGTTCTTCAGAAGTTATGCATTTTTCTAGGTCATCAAAGATGCTAGAGAGGTCATTAAAAGAACTGTCTTCTCCACTGACCCAGTGGAGATATCTCACCCTTAATGAAAAAGAGGGGAAGCATGAACCCCTGCTGTGGGTTTCTGTTTCTTTGATTAAAGGAACCCTCACAGACACCAGTGTTTCAGATTGATCCCCACTCCTGCCCCCACCTCGCTTTGTGTGTGTGTTGGGGAGTGGGTTAGGGAGGGGAGTGCCTCAAAAGATTCTATACCCAGGAGCAGCATATCATAATGAGATTAGGTGTGGGTGAGAGGTGTGCCTTTCTCGTGTAAAATGAGGCGATGGACTTTCTCTGGTAAGGTGAGGCTCTGGTGAGGCCTGCCTGCTACAGGTAGATGAGCGTTTGAAGCAGCCGTGGCCCAGCAAGAGCAGGGGCAGTGACGGGCTCAGGCCCCAGCAGGCAAGCAAACCAGAGCAGCCAGAATGCTTGGCTGAGGCAGGACGATCTGGAATAACCAGTGGGAGAGGAAATAAGACCAATTCGAGTTAAAATCGAGAGCCAGCTACAGCAGCAGAGGCTGCGTCCTGGTTTGCATCACAGAGATGGCTGGCCACTGGCCTCTCCCGTTGGGGTCACGCTCTCATGTCCTCCTGTGAAGTGAGGGCGTCCTGTTCTCATAGGAGATGGGACACCTTAGGGGGATGTGACTGGATGGGAGTGGTGCGAGGGGCTGTGTCACACTCTGCTAACTGAAGTCCGCATGGCCGTGCCTAGTTCTCACACACACACACACACACACGGTCTCCCCTCAGCCACTTGCCCTCTGCACTCGAGCAACACCAGCAACGGCTCGTGCTATCCCGTGGCTGTAGACCCAGTCACAGCTGCCGCCACAGCCTCCAGCTCAGGGACCCCCATGCGCCAAGGGCAGTGACGGGCCATCTGGGTGCCTGCCCGCTGGCTTCCCCAGTAACTGCCTGGAGAGGCTGGTGACAACTCGTAATGTAGGCGTCCTGTGGGTGATTCTCTCCCTCCCCATGGGTGGACTGCTCCTCCACGCAGCACTTTCCATGAACCCACTGAGGACTCCTGTGGCACCAGCTGGCCTGTGGAGATGCTGTGCCAGGCTCCCAGTGCCCACAGGCTGTGCCCTTCTGCTCCGCCCCAACAAGTTATCAGCATGTCGGCTCCGCCTCCTGCTTTTTTTCTGGGGAACGTGGCCTAAGACAGTGCTTATACAAACATTTTTCTGTATACCTATAATTAATTCTTCAGACTAAATTCCTAGAAGTGTTATTGCTACTTAAAGGAGAATCATTTTTTGCATTTTTGTAATTTTTTTTTGATACTCTGATTTTAAGGTAATACCTGTTTATTGCAGGCATTTTACAAAATGAAGAAAATTAAAAGTTATATTAACTTTATTCATATGTATCCTTTCACATATTCTTAAGCGTTATAATACTTAAAATATAAATGTTTCGCTAGTTGATTACAGAGTTCTGCGTAAGGAAAAAAGTGTATTGACTTAGAACTAGACGAAGGTTAAATGTGGGAGATGAGACCCGAAGGTACAGTCTGGGAAAAAACGGAAAAACAAAGATCCTCTTATTCTTTTGTTTTTTAAATCAAAACTGGGATCGTACCAGCTGACAGAGTTTTATAATGGCTTTTTTCTCACTTAATATTTTGTGATGTTTTTTACACCATTAAATTTTATGTGATTACAGTTTTTAACGCCACATGATATTTCCTGGATCCATAATTTAAGCAATCCTCGATTGTTGGATATTTCTTTCTTTGTTTTTTCCTTTTAAAAATTGTTTTAAGTGTTTTGAGGACATTCATATAGATGTAATCTTTGCACTACGGTCTAAATATTTTCATAGGATAAATTCTTCACGGTGGAAATGCATTTCTAAAAGAAAGGTTATGGAGGGAGGAGGGGAAAAATAAAATAAAAATAAAGGAACAAGCTCAGCAGAGTCGGGCCTGGTTAGTACTTGGATGGGAGACCACCTAGGAAGACCGGGTGCTGTAGGCGTAAAAAGTTAAAAATAAGGGATTGTAAGCTGACAAGGTCCTTGCAATCTGTGAGGTCAACCAAGGGTTGCCTCACCTAAAAAAAAAAATAATAAAAAAATAAAAGAACAGTTATACAAGTGCAAATTCCTTGTAACTGTACGTGAGCGATCTAGGTTATGCATTTGCCAGTCATGAATATCCTCCCTCTCTTTAATTTTTGTCATTCTGCTCTGTGCAAAACGGTATCTCATTTTACTTTGCATTTCTTATTATAGGATCACATATAATTTTGGATGCTCATTGGCCATTTTCTATTCCTTTTGTGACTTGTCCACAATATAGGTCTGCTTTTCTTAATATTGATATCTCGGTTTGTCATAGTATCACATATATTCGGTTTGTCGATAGTATCACATATATTTTTTCTACATAATTGGAGTCATTTTGAGAAGAAATATTGTAGCAACCCTTCATTTATTTACAGTCATTGCTTTTAGAGAATTTTCCATTCAAATGAATATTGAGCCCTTCAAGGCCCAACTCAAATGTCCCTTCCTCCATAAAGTCTTCTCTGATTTGCTCTAACTCATGTCTGAGTCACCTGTCCTTTCCCGTGTGTTCTCACCTGTACACTGCCACTTCATTCAGACTTTCCTGTATTAAATATCTGAGCAAAGATATCTCCCCTACATGTTATAAGCTTTAGGAAAGCAGGAACAGCATCTGATTCCTGTTAGGACAGCTCGGGGCCACATAAGGTGTCTGGCACGTAGTATTCATCCAATACGAGGTCTTGAATGGACTTGTTAGCTCTTCACATAGCAGTGCTTTTAGATTTGAAAGTACTTTTCATAAATGTATTTTCGAATTATGTATTTGCATATTTTCTTAAGCATAGATTATTGAAAAACTGGGATTTTTGATAAGTGACACTTATGTATAGATAATTTATAGGACTTTGCTGTATAAGACACTGATGCCTTCAGAGATTTATAGCGCTAACGTACTAAATGGCCCAGGTGCTGGTGGATGAGGTATTTCTCTCTAATGGCATCTCGCTGCTGATGTGTGATTATGTGCCCAGCATTCTCTAGATGAGCGACTGTTAGAATTAAATCCAAAATTGGACTTAAATGCCCTTTGATTCTCAGCTGGGTTCCAGGGTGCTGAGGTCGCCATGACCTCTGTGCTCATTGCTATTCACTGGGACATTTTTGTGCCCTATTTCTCTGAGTCTTGTCATTATACAAATCAAATCGTGTTTCCTCAAACTAGAGAATGAATACCTACTCTAACAGTGTTCTTTTATAATTAGTACAATGTCATCTGCATTATAAAGACCCGAAAACTATTCTGGTATGATGTTGGGCCTTTGCCACTACCTTTTGAGAGTTTCTTCTGAGCGTCAGAAAAATTATTCAAAACTTGGAATGGACATGAGAAGTTACTGAGTGTTCTTCCAGCGCTCTGCCTGGCTTGTACCTGTGACTGCCTGGCCTTCGACTGGGTTATTGGACAACTCAGTAGGAGCAGAGGTTAATTTTTAGGTTCCTGTCCAGTTAGGCAAATAATTCCTGTCCAGTGAGAAAGAGCCTCAGAGGCTGTGGATTTTGGCCCCGTGGGCCACTGACTAGTTTTACACCTGACCTCGAAGCCTTATTCTTCCATTCTTTTGTTAAATTGTTATAAATGCCTGGCTCTTCCAGTTCTCATTTGAATCCAGTCTTCTGCCATTTCCCTCATGAACTAATGAGTTGAATAAAATCTTTGGCCACATGTTCATTTTACATTTTTATGAGATCATGTTTTTAACCTTTTGACAATTATTCTTTGCCATAGTGTCGGATGCCCCTTATTTTCACTTGAGCACCCAAGTAGGTTAGGTTGATGGGTAAACAAAAGAACATATTACTACTAATAATAAGAATAAGCCAACTGGTAATCAAATCCCAGCCTTCTTTTTCCTTTCTTCTTTCATTTTGAGTACCTTCTCTGCTGTAACCGAGGAAAGATGGGAGTTGTTCTTCTGGGTGACCCGTCTGCAGCCGCGTTCGTGAAGCCCGCGTGTGAGGAGCATGGCCTGGGGGCGCAGTGTGCACACAGTGGGGTGTTGCCGCCCAGTGTCACGTTATTGTTCTCAGCTAGAGTCCTGTTCAGCCAAAGCGGGAGGGAGAAAAATCCAGGAGGGGAACTAGATGACGCTAACACATTAGCATTTTGCCAGATAAATAGACAATGCTTCCTGCAGCATTAGCTAAGCGATCCAGCAATGATCTTTCCTTTACCAGACGGTTAATACCTAGTAAGATAAGACTAACAAATTTAGAATCAGATCTTCGATATGAGTCCTAAGAGAATGTTCTTTTGGGGAAAGCACTATGCGAATATGGCTGCGGGAATGTTTCTCGCAGGACAGCTACTGATTCTTAGGTCGTGCTCCAGCGCCCAGCGCCCCCTGCCATGCCCCGTGGAGTCCGGAGTGACTCCTGTGCTCGTTACACTCTCTCCACTGCTGTTTTCACCCGCGTCCCTTTTTCTCCTGGTCTAGACTAAGTCTGGAGAACCAGTTTTGTCTCTTCCACTTTGATAGTTTTCACTGTGTGTGTTACACAGTAGCCATTCAGTGGTCAGTAGCTGTTGGTTGGTTCACAGGAGAGCAGATCACGCTTGGCCAACAGGTAGAAAAGGTGCTGTCGCCTGGCTTTTTAAAAAGACAGTCACATTCATCGGTAAATGGTACAGTTTAC